AATTTTATGCCATGCCTAATGAGATTTAAGTATTAACAAAGCTATTGGTGCTTTTTAAAAAGTATATTTTACCTGCTTCAATTGCATGCTACAATGTGCATATATGTACATGGAGAAATTGGTGATTGGATCTGTGGATGTAAATTGTTTCAGAAAGGTGAAGAAGGACACAGAGGTTTGAGTTCGAGGAATATGTCTTATCTCAATATGGCGGGCCATTTCTTGTCTCAATATTTCAACGTGATCACCTTTTGAATTGAAGAGACGAGAGCCATGGTTCACAAAAATAGAAAGACAAAACAACAACTGAGAGAGACGTATCATCCCTACGAAACAAGAGCTATACATCCTCACATTTTATTCTTGCAAGATTACCTTCTTGCCTTTCTAGTAGAAAAGTCGGTTGGCTGGATTGGGGCTACATTCAATCAAGTTGTAAGGTGGTGAAATTATGGATTTGTTGGGTTGCAGGTCAATCGAATTTGAATTTGTCGAATTATATGTTAGTCAGGTTACAGATTAATAAATTACGAATCATTAAATTATTAGTTCATCCGAATATCGAATTGGGTGACTGGACGGATTACTCGAATGGGACCCATTTTTCACACCTCCACTTTTTGGTATATACATTGATTTGTGGTTGTTACTTGTTAGCCATTAGTAATTTGGGATAATAAGGTAACACCTAATGCACCCGCGCACATTTTATGCTAGCATAATAGATTTGTTCATATGTACTAAACTTAACACTACGGGAAAAAGGCCTTCTTGCAACACTCGGATTGCAACACTACTTGAAAGTGTTGCGTTAAATATGTTACGACAACACATTTTTTTGGAGTTGCGTATTGGATAGTTTACGCAACTCAATTTAATTATATGTTGCAATTATTCTCTTAACACAACACATATGTCAAAAATAAATTTACTGTTGCCTAATTCAATAAGTTATGCAACACTTATTAAAATTTTGTTGCAAAAACATATAATTATATTACCGTTTGATGTATAATAACAATGTGAATATAAACAATTTCAAAGGTACATCCAAATCAGAAAAGCAAAGGAAAGGTAAACAGCAAAAAAACCCAACTTGGACCCAAATACAGAAAAGAAAAGGAAAAGCAAACAAAAACCCACCCAACTTTACCAAACAAATTAGTCTCGTTACTCTACTTTTTACCTCCCTTTTCTCCTTCCTCTATCGCACTTCTCCATAGTTTGTACTTCTGCCCTCACAAAAAAGCTTCCCCTGTGTTTATCTGCTGCAAAATCGACGAGCAGCAGAGGTCCGCCCAACAACTAGGAATCAGAGACCATCAATCCTCCTCTGAAGGTCATATCCCCAAGAACAACGGTACAAATTTCGTTACCCACCCTACCATCAAGAATCATCCTCAAATTCCTGTTCGATCGTCGACCGCGGTGGGTTCTCCTTTCTCTACCCGACGCCGACAGAACAACTTTTCCCCACCCACCGTCAAGCATCATCCTCTGTCTTTCCTCGATCTGATCCTCAACGGCAGCGTGTTATGGTGGGTTCTCCTTTCTCCTTCCCCTGCTCTTCTGTAGCGGTTATAATTTCTTTTTAAAACTACATTACTTTTGTTTGGCTCCACAGGAATCAATTACCACTGGAAATAATTACCACTGGAAACAAGAATACAAGAATACGAAGAACAAACGATTGCGCCCAGAAATCAGGTTACTACTCAAACGAATAAGCAAAATAACCATACTAATATGTCTACTGGCGGAAATCAGAACTCAAAAGTTATATTGAAGAGCTCGGAATGATTGGTGTATTAAGTAGTCTGTGTTTCGCCTCCCTGACAAACTGATATGCAAGATGAAAAGCTGCTGCTCTTTCTTACTAGCTCTCTACCTTGCACAAACCTCACAAACTAGCTCTATTTCTAGTTGCTTCAACCGCTTTATTTCAATCGGTGGCAGTAATAGAGATTATCACTTTGCTGCAGCCAAGTTTGTTTCCATGTATTAATTACAATCTTATCTTTTATTGATTAGAGCTCCTGCATTTTCTATATGCTTCACGTGCCAAGTTTCTAGAAATGCCCAGAATTGCAGATTAACTTTGACTATATATGTTGTATGATCAAGCAAACGTGTGCTAGTTTAATCTTTTTGTTGCATTAGTTGAAAGATCAATAACTTGTGCATTTGCTGTTTCAATCAAATAAGCAATGCAGCTGGCAGAATCGGGTATGTGTACCTCTGGTTTATAGCTTTGCTGGGAATTAATTCAAGGCTAGTAAGTCAAGCTAGGCTATCATCCTTTCTCAGTACCACAGATAAAACCACAGAAAGCTTAATTGTATAGAATGTTGCTTTTGATTTTGTTCACTGCTAATTTTATATTGATTTTCTGCTGGAATTGCAGCTTTCCTCATTGTACTTATATTGTCCTGGCCTTAATGTATATATTTACTAATTCAGGTCATTCATTTTGCAGTTTATTATTGGAAATGGACAAAAGTTGGTTGTCGAAAGCACGAGTGAGTACCGCCTATCGTAATGGGGTAGAGAGTTTTCTGAACTTAGCATTTGCTAAATCGGCTGAGGGAAATGAGATTTTGTGTCCCTGTGTGAAGTGCAAGAATATGTTTTGGCAAACCAGAAATGTCGTCAATGAACACCTGATTTGTCATGGATTTGTGAAGAAGTACTCTATTTGGACTTTCCACGGAGAGAAGGAAGTTGAAGATAGTGACAATGATGATATGGTAGAAGATGATGATATGTATGGTCTATTAAGTGACCTTGCAGCTACTGTCGGTGGAGAGCCTGATGGACAGACGAAACACTTTTTCACTCTATTAGAAGTCGCTGATAAAGAATTGTATCAGGGATGTGAAAAGTTTTCGAAGCTTTCATTCACCATTCGAATATATCTTCTAAAGTGCCTCAATGGATGGAGTAACTCCTCTTTCGATTCTCTACTTTCTTTGCTGATCGAGGCTTTTCCTGATGCTGAGATTCCCAAATCATTTGTTAAAATGAAAACAATGATTAAGGGTTTAGGGTTGAACTACAAGAGGATTGATGCTTGTCCAAAAGATTGTATGCTATATTATGGTGATGATGATAGTAAGCTGAAGAGTTGCAGAAAATGTGGCCAGTCTAGATACAAGTTTCCCCCTAAGGATGATGGGAATTGTGGTGAAGATGATAATGTTTCCGGGAAACAAGTTGCTGCTAAGATTTTCCGCTACTTTCCTTTGATACCAAGACTCCAAAGGTTGTTCATGTCTTCGAAAACAGCCACATACATGAGATGGCACGAGGAAAAGCGAATCAAAGATGAGAATCTTAGGCATCCTGCAGATGGTCAAGCATGGAAAGATTTTGATGACTTGCATCCGGACTTTGCAGCTGATTGTAGAAATGTTCGGATTGCCATTGCTTCTGATGGTTTCAATCCGTTCAGGACTATGACAATTAATCATAGCACATGGCCCGTGGTAGTCGCAATCTACAACTTGCCACCCTGGATGTGTATGAAACCAGAGTATTTGGTTCTGTCTTCGATTATCCCAGGGCCAAAATCACCAGGGAATGATATTGATGTCTATTTAGGACCTTTTGTGGATGAAATGAAGAAGCTATGGAGTGAGGGAGTAATTACTTATGATGCTCATAGCAAGTAAATGTTTAATATGCGTGCTTGTTTGATGTGGACCATTAGTGACTTTCCGGGATATGCCATGTTGTCTGGTTGGAGCACAAAAGGATATTATGCGTGTCAAAATTGTAATTATGATACATGCTCTCTGCGGTTGAGTCACAGCAATAAGATGTGTTATATGGGGACACGTAGGTTTCTTGATGATGATCATGAATGGAGGAGGGACAGGAGTTCTTTTAACGGGAAAACTGAGTTTGGGCGGAGTCCTATACCTTTATCTGGTTCGATGATCAAGGAAAAGTTATAAGGATTCATCAATGACTTTGGCAAGAGGGACAATAAGAAAGGTGAGACAAGATTTCCTCTGCATAAGTTGTCCATTTTTTTTGATTTGCCTTATTGGGAGAAAAATCAATTGCGTCATAATCTTGACGTGATGCATATAGAAAAGAACGTCTTTGAAAATGTTTTAGGAACATTGTTAGACATTCCTGGGAAGACCAAAGATCAACGACTTTGAGCAAATGACTCGTTTTGTAAATGATTTTAAACAAGTTTAAAACATAATTCTTTAATACAAAACTACTACGAATCATTAAACGGGTATACGAGCATCCATTGAGTCACCCCTTGTGGTCAGGAGGCTATATTGTCTAGTGATATATAAATGTGTGAGCAAATAAAAATATTAAGTGAGATACTAGACAGTTAGGAAAAAAGAGAGATAATTTTGGTTATTAATAAATATTGGGAAGGAAGATTTTTGTGGAAAGGATATTGGGAAGGAAATATAAAGTAGAAGAGATTCCTATGCATAATGTGGAAGAACTACGGCCTACTAAAAAAATTCCATGTCATCTGCTTTTTCCTCCTTCCTTTACTTATCTAATAACTAAATAATAATTTAATTAAATTGTATTTTACAAGATTTGCGTTGATACTGGGAAGGAAAGCTTCACCTAAACACTTAATAATAAAACCCTTACGGAAAAAGAAAACCCTTCTTCTTTCATTCTACCACTTTCACGAAACCCCAATCCTTTCTCCTTTCCAGCCGCAAGCAAATATTCAACGAGGACTTCCCACTCACTCATTGTCGTTACCTTCTTGCTCTACTCTTGGCCCAAGCTACAAGGTATGATGATCAACTGTTCCTTATTTTTCTCATGTTTTCACACGTAAGTTTGATTCAGTATGTATGCTCTTTGTCTGTCTTGACAGCAATGACGTCCTCTGCTTACACCACATACCAGAGAAAAGGAAGAAAACGATCACGTGAGCCCAATTACGATTCAGATGAGACCCGTTCCGGATCCCATCTTTACATACTGAAGCCGAATATGATTCGGATGAAACACTGATGGAAGGAGAGAATATGCAAGAAGAATTTTCATTTGTCCCATCCTCTGAAATTAACTCGGACCCTCCAAAAGGTACGTGAAAAATTTGTTTGTTGTTTAAGCTATTTCTCGTTCTGCGTGTTCATCTGTTAATTGCCAAAGGACCGTATTTAATTTAATCTGAATCCCTAACTGCAAACTCCCAATTTTATTTGATATACTGAGTCCAAATTTTTTTTTGGCGGAGTACGCCCCACGTTTGTGATGAGTTGGAGCTTGATAGGTTAAACAACAAACTTGGTTAAATGATACGTCCCACGTTTGTGATGAGTTGTGATGAGTTGGAGCTTTTATTATTTATCCCATTGATCAAATTTCCATTAAGATAAGATTACATTAATATTATAAAAGAAGTACCCATTTTTGGTTAAATAATACGCATTAAAAATTGCCCAAGTCCTGGGATATAGTGCGGCGATGCTTATGATTTGCTTTGTAACTAGTCAGCTTAATTAATTGGAGTGCTTTTTATTTATTCACTGTAATACAAATCTGCTCATTTTTTTCATTGAGTCTTTTTTGTTTGTTGATTTCTGGTTTGCTGGTTAATAGTTTAACTAGATGTAAACGCCATTTTCTAGTTAGCCTACTTAATACTTTAGGACTACCATATTTTAATATGCTCTTATTATTAAATCAAGCCATTAAAACTTTGTCACGTATTTATTATTACAGTGAAGAATAAGAGGGGGATCACAACCTGTAATGCTGTTGTGCTAGCAACCCAAGATGGGAAAAAATTAGAGGTTTATTTTCCCAACACAGGGACAGAGGCTGTTGGTAAGAATGCTCGGCACTTAGTTAGTTTCTGTGGGGTTCTAATAAAAAAACATGCTAAGTTGAGTGCCACGAATTGGGATGAGGTTGAAGAAACAATTGGTGATAAATTGTGCTCCTTAGTGGAGGTACGATCAATCATTTTCACACTTTTCATTTTTTGTTAATATTTTGCATATTGAACTATTCTTAAGAATCTTATACTCTTGAGTTACTTTGTTTGTAGGAGAAATTCAAGAGCAATTGCAGTGAGAAGTTAAGATCTTTTATATTTAAGAAAATGAAAAAATCATATTCGACTACGCTGTACAACTTACGCAAGAAATTTCAAGAGATGGATCAAAATGAAAGGGAAAGTTATGTTCCTGACGGCATTGATAAAGAAGATTGGAAGCAAGCTGTTGTCAATTGGGGATCAGAGCTTTTCAAAGTAAGTGCACATTTTAATCCTTAATTTTTTTCCTTCTAAGTCTTTTAGAATATGTTTATTTGAATTTATTATTAATCCTAAAATGTGAGCTATACAGAAAAAGAGCTTGAGAAATAAGAAGAATAGATCACAGGTGAAAGTGAAGAATGTGTGTGGATCAAGATCTCATGATGAATTTGAATTTAATATGGTAATGATCTTCTAGTTTTAACTTCTAAATTTATTTTATTTTTGTTACCTCATATCACATTTTTAGTTTTGTTAACACTCTTTAAGTTGAATAATGAAATTGAAATCATAGATAGATCCAAAAACTGGAATTAAGAAGTCCGTTGATGAAGTGTGGCGTGCTCAACATATGAAGAAGAATGAAGAAGGAGAGATGATATGGTGCGATGACGCATCAAAAGCAATTTACGTAAGTAAACTTTCATAGACTTTTTCAATGCCTTACATTTATATACACTTCATTCTGAAATCATAAAATAGAATAATTTATTTTTCTTTTTTACAGGAAAGAATAAAAGAGATAGTCAATCAAGGAACTTATTTGTCTAACAAAGAGATAATACTTAAAGCCAAGGGCAAGCTCTCGTCTCGACGTGTTAGGCGGGAGAAATTGCTGTGGTTGGGGAAGAAGTTAGAGCTGGGATAAGAAATGAGATCTATTCAGAGTTAAACCAACAGTTTGAGGCCCGGCTAGCAGAGCAGAACAAGAAATGGGAACAAAGGTTTGCTGACCTGCAAAAGCAACATGATGAAGACATGATGCAACTGTTGCGTCCGAAAAAATAGGATGATTTATAAAGATAAAAAACCTCTCATTAGTGTTAGATTTGTGGTTTTGATTGATTTCAATACTATTTAGAATTATTAGTAGCCAAATTTGAGTTTAAAACTTTTTCCCCTATTATCTAGTGAATTTGATTTTTTTTATTTTGGTGACCATTCTTGTCACAAAATATGATATATTTTTTGTTTCACCAATGACTATATTCGTATTTTAATTTCTTGTCACTAAAGAAGCTCGTTAGTCGTCAAACCATTAAATTTGTGACAAAACATGTTCTCGCAATTAATAGAAGTGACGACACATCTTCTCACTGAATAGAGTGTTGTAGCAATATGTGTTCTAAAATCTTGTCACAAAATGCACTCATGTAGGACATACGTTATCATCATTTTTGGGGTATACTCATGTCATCATCTCTTGTCACAAAAGAAGGCTGAAAAGATAACTTTATTGTCAAAATAGAAATACATTTGTGATAACTCAGTGATGCATCACCATTGCTTTATTAGTGACTAGCAAAGTTGTCACAAAAGCTAACCTTTTGCGATGAAAGGTTGGTCACCAATGAAAGGGATTTGCGAAGTTCGTGCCGTCAATTTATCACTAATGCTGCTTTGAGTGATTAGTAAAGTTGTCACCAAATATATCCTTTTGCAACGAAATATTGGTCACAATTGACGTCATTTTGTGGTACGTACGGTGTTTTCGTGATAAAAAAATTGTCATAAAATGATTCTTTTGTGAAAGTTAGATAATCACAAAAGTATATTGTGAGTGACGATTGAAATTCGTCACACATAGGGGACATACGTGACAGTAAACTTCGTCACAAATAGTTACTTTAGTGACAACCAAACGCGACCCCTAAATCTTACGAGGAATTTCACAATGTGTATTTGTGACATAATTATGGTCACACATGTATCTATTCGTGACAATTAGACATGTCAAAATGATAGTTTTCGTGACTGGACTACCTCGTCACAAAAAGAATTTTTATTGACGATAATATTGTCACGCAAGTTTTAATTTTTGTTACGAGCAATGTTGTCACAATTGAGTTAGTTATTCGTGACGATTTAAACTCGTCACATATACAAATTTTACTGTTGCTAAAAGTTAAAAATACCGTTGCCCATTTTACAAAAATGTGTTGCAAAACTTGTGAAACGTGTTGCCTAAAGTGGTGTTGCGTAAGAGGTAAGGATACGCAACCCTTTATATTTGGGTTGCGAAAAATGGAAAAACAGTTGCCTATTCTTTTTGCAACCCCCACTATATGCAACCCTACCAAAAGTGTTGCGATAGATTTTCGCAACTCTTTTAATACATAACGCAACACATTCGTGGGAGTTGCAAGAGGCCATTTTTCCCGTAGTGTAAGGAGATCGAGTTACTACGGAATAATTCCCAGAATACAGCATAAATTAAATATAATTCTCATAATACATAAGATTTATAAAATTTTCCAAAAATACCCAAGTTTCAAAGGATTTTCCCAAAATCTATCCCCACAAACTTTCGTACCCTCAGCAATCGCGCTCTTTCAATGAGGGGCTGGATACGATCATCCCATTTAGGCAAGCGAGATAGTGACCGATAGGTGATTACGTCAAGTTGTTCCTATAGAAAAAAATAGATTAATTATTATAAAAAAATTAGAAGAATACTATCACATTTAAAAAAAAGAAAAGTACATGAGGAAGTGCTTACCGGATCTGCCGCCCAAACACTTTCAGACCGATGGTAAGGTTGCTCATCCAACAAATCGGTTTCTCGCGGTCCGCCTTGAATGTAATATCTAGGATCGTTAATACTTGGGTCCATCTCGGCAATTTTGAGTGATAGTACCAAACAAAAGGAAAAAAATTTGATGCGGAAGATCGGACTTAGCCGCAACCACAGAGCATATTTTTTTCTTCAAGTGTGGTGGGAGGAAGAGAGGAAGTAGAATGGAGTGGTGTGAGTTTTGATGGAATGGAAGGGGGTATTTATAGGTGCTGTGGGAGAGTGGATCGAGTATGCCAAACTCGAACCAGTGCATCGATTTCGGGGCACTCGATCCGCGTCAAAAGTAGATCGGGGTTAGGCGCATCGAACGACCAGATCGAGTTTAGGGTCCTCGATCAACGGTTGTTCGCCTTTGACGTCATCGATCCGCGTCAACTTGATCGACCACAACCGACTCGATCCACTGCATCGAGTTTCACCCACTCGATCCGCGTCATCCCTGCTTCGCGTGTTTTGAAATCGAAAGGCGTGGATCGAGTTTAGAGTACACGATCAACGGTGGTGCACGCCTGACGTCATCGATCCGCGTCAAGCAGATCGATTGCCATAAACTAGATCTACCTACATCGAGTTTCCCACACTCGATCCGCGTCTTCACTGCTTCGCGGGTTGAGCAATCGAACGGCCTAGATCGCTTCTCGGTACATCGATTTATGGTGGAGCGCTGCCCATCTCATCGATCCAGGTCTTGCTGTTCGAGTGTCTTAACCTCGATGCACGTGGATCGATTTATTGTCAGTCGAACAGCTACCAGTTCGAGTTTGTTAAACTCAATCCGTGTCAAACTTTGGTAGTTTGAGAATTTTTTATAAAAGTTATGTATTGTGGGAATTAGTTTTAATTATTACTGTATTTAAGGAATTAATCCAGTTACTACCACCCCTTCAAGTCAGTATAGCAAAGTGATTTGGAATTTTGATGGCATTCTATAGCATGTTTTGTAGGTTATGTAACGTAAAATAGTGTTCACATTGTAAAGTTTATATTATACTGTATGTTTCTGTACGTAATAAACATTAACACGAATAGGTAAGGTTCTTCTGTGAAATCATATATATATAGGTCAGACTCGTATGCTCCTGACACATAGTATGCTCCAGATCTTCAGTACCATTGATCTAATCTAACGGTGTTTATTAGATCTATTCTAATTATTTATTATTTACAGTTTTAAAATAATAAGTTGATACCATTACATTTTTATACGTGCTCTTTAGTCCCTATACAAAATTTTTCATATATATTTATATTATCGTACATAATTTTCTTCCAATATTAACTTGAACACCCATATTTTCTGATTGTATCGTCGTTAAGTTAAGTTTAATTTCTACCTCCTTTTCCGGAGCAATTTTGTCGTTTCAACACCAAATCCTCCTTTCCCATTTGCCCTTTATCGTGTGTGACGAACCCTATCTTCTCATCCATAACTATCGAATCAATTCTCCTCCCAAGCCCTCTCAATCGCCGATCACTAGAATTTTTGTGCTTCCCGTCGCTATGTACGGATTAATCGCTGAACTCACAGACTCGATAGTTGGGGCGAGGGCTGAATGGCGAAGAAACTCCATACTTGAAAGGTCTTTAACGAAATCGATGGGGATAGTGGTGGAGAGGCGATGTTGCACAGTTGGAAGGAGAATCGGAAATAGCAGATGGAGAAGCTAAATCGGTAACCGACTGTGCCTTCATCGTTGATCTTTTCGTTTGCTATTTTCATAAGCTTCGTGACTATCATTTTGCAGTCTGCCGGCTGCAATCCTGTCTGAGTTGTGCTTATAATAACCGACAAAACTGTTTCTCTAATTTTACCAGTACTGCAGAGGTGGAAGGGTCGGGGAAAAGCTTAATCGAGCTTGGATGTGACTGGAAGACTGAGATGCAGGCGGCTCGAACCGGTGCTGTCAACACATTGTCTGGTATGGATTTATATTAATCTATATTTAAAATCAAACACAGGTAGTAATATCTCTGTTTCTTCTTCTATTTTGGGCTTTCATTGCTGTAATTGTTGTTCTTTATTTGATTGTGGTGGTGAGGAAGATTGGAGAAGGATTTCTGGGATT